CAGGACAATGCTGACTCATGCCAGCAAAACTTGTATTTCCCAAACAACCCATCCTGCGCCAGCAGCAATCAACTGCAGCCTAACAACGAGGCACCCCATTGACTATCTTCAATCAAGGGCGGATCTACCTGGGGGGCAGGTAAAGCTCATTTCCCCCACTGCTGGAGCCCATACCTGGAAAGCTCTGGTGGCCAGTTTCTGAAATTTCATCTCAGAATAGCCTGAGGCTCCCCACAGCCAGCTGCCCAGGTAGCAGGCTCAAAGCTCTGAAGATTTTCCCAGGAGGGTGATATGAAAGTTGCCTTGCCATTATAAATGTAACACTTGGGTCAGTGAACTGAGAGAACTAGTGGAGTCACTTCGGGCTGGTGGAATCCTGCTGGTGAATTTTTATCAGTTCTAACCAGGCTCGCTTTTCCTGTTGACCTCTCCATTTCCTTAGACTGCTCTCATTAAAACAGAAGTAGAAGGATTCTTCTCTCCCGGTTGCCACACTCTGTGCTAAACATAAATCATCTACTATCTTTGGGTGCCTAAGGAACATAGGAGGCTGCCTTAATATCTGCCATTAGAAAGCCAAGTCCCTAAATGTGTATCAATTCTTTCTTATTAGCCTGTTTATTTAAAAATCAATTTGTGAATGACAGCTCATCAAGAGCTAGTCATTATTATTGAATTAGCCCTGACCCGCTAGAATTGGCATTGGTGTTATACAAAGAAAACAAAGATCAAGTCCTTGTGGTCTAAGTGCTTTAATATTATATGTGCGGGTGTTTGCCTGCATGTATGGCTATAAGACACCATCAGAGCCTGTAGGACTGGAGTTACAGATGGCTGTGAGCTGCCATGTAGGTGCTAGAAACTGAACACTATGGAAAAGGAGCCAGGGCTCTTAACCACTGAGCCATCTCTCCAGTTTCTGGATGTTTTATTTGGCAAGAGAGAAACTGATGAGATCCTTCTGTTCTCTGGTGAAGACATATGAGCCTCCATCTTTCAAGGTAGCTTTCAGATGGGAGGAACTCTGAATGGAGCTGCCAAAACAGTCTGCCAGTCAGTAAATGCTACGTTAATTAAAATGTACAGGCAAGCTGGGCAGTGATAGAGAACACCTTTAATCCCAGCATTTAGGAGGCAGAGGGCAGGAGGATCTCTGTGAGTTCTTGGCCAGCCTGGTCTACAAAGCAAGTTCCAGGACAGCTAGGAATGTTACACAAAGCAACACTGTCTCAAAATAAATAAATAGATGTGTACAGGAAAACCTGGAGGTGATGGTGCACTTAATCCCAGCACTTTTAAGGCAGAAGCAGGCAGTCTACAACGTGAGTTCCAGGATAGTCAAGGCTACACACATAGTGAGACCCTGTCTCAAAACAAAACAAAAACACAACAACAAAAACCAAAAAGCAGAAAGTACATGAAGACAGAATTTTAAAACTATGCTACTTCATTCCCTTCCACAAACAAATAGCTTCAGCCCACTCACCCAAGTCTTCCTAACTACACAGTCCCGAGGACAGCCACTGTGAAGGAAGGTAGTATAAACGCCCCGTGGCTTTTCTCCCTGTCTGTGTTTCCTACTCAGAAAGTGGCAGTATTTAAAGACAAGTTTCCCTGCAATGTGTGTTAATTAGTCCTTTTCAAAGAATACGGCATCTCTGGAACAGGTGACAGCCATTATCTCATGAACCACACTTCAAAAAATCCGTCTGTAGCTGATGATAAGCCCCACAGTCTAATATAAAACAACTCTTGAGGTCCACATACAGCTTTGGAAAACTGTGGTTACAAAGGTTACTGGCTCCTTCTACACTGGTCAGCTTTTTTTTTTTTTTTTTGGTTTTTTTTTTTTTTTTTTTTTTCCGAGACAGGGTTTCTCTGTGGCTTTGGAGGCTGTCCTGGAACTCCCTTGGTAGTCCAGCCCGGCCTTGAACTCACAGAGATCCGCCTGCCTCTGCCTCCCGAGTGCTGGGATTAAAGGCGTGTGCCACCAACGCCCGGCACACTGGTCAGCTTTTAGGGTGAGAAAAATGTAGGCAGTGCAGTGAGCTAGGGAGTCATGTGACCCACCAAGAACTACTCAGGCAGGACCAGAAACAACTGAACTCCTCAATCAGCTAAAATACCCTTTGGGTACACAGGGCTATCATCTCCCTCTCTGAGAATCTGATAGCCACACTCTATCCTGGTACCGCCTTTTAGTATCATTAAAGATACTAAATTTGAACTAATTGCTTCGGGTACTGGAGGTATTGTGATATTATATAAAAAAATTATGAGACTATGTAGAAACAAGGAAAACAACATTGGTTCTGCCATTAAGTTCTTTCACTCTTTAAGCAAACTACCACCCAAAACTATTAATAGGGTTGTTGTTCTTTAAATGGGTAGTTGCAAAGTATATATGTACATATAAAAAAAAATAAATGGGCTAGGTGTGGTGGCTAATGTCTGTAATCCCAGTTTTTGGGAGGCTGAGACAGGACATGATTTTGAGGCCAGCCTGAGGCAGCAGTGTGTATCTGAATTCTCAGCACTCAAAGGCAGGAGTGAGGATGCAGGAAGCAGAGACAGGACAATCAGCTGTAGGCCAGCTAGTATGGAACAGCACAAACAACAGATACTGCCTCAAAACAAGGCAAGAGAGAGCCAGGCGTTGGTGGTGCAAGCCTTTAATCCCAGCACTCGGGAGGCAGAGGCAGGCGGATCTCTGTGAGTTCGAGGCCAGCCTGGTCTACAGAGCGAGTTCCAGGACAGCCTCCAAACAATACAGAGAAACCCTGTCTCGAAAAACCAAAAAAAATATATATATAATGTAAAAAATGTATATAAAAAATATATACATAATGCCCATGGAGGTCAGAAGAGATATAGCTAGCTACAGGTGATGTGGGTGCTGTGACTCAAACTCAGATCTTCTACAAAAACAACAGTGCTCTTTTGAGGGATGAGGAATGGGCTTCCAAACAGGGTTTCTCTGTATAGCCCTGGCTATCATAGAACTCATTATGTAGACCAGACTGGCCTCAACCTCAAAGAAATCTGCCTGCCCCTACCTCCCGAGTGCTGGGATTAAAGGTGTACAATACCACCACTTGGTATAACAGTGCTCTTAACCACTGAGCCATCTCTCCACCTGCCCCCCTTTATAAATAATCAAGAGTACCTACTACTATTTAAGAAAAATACTGTGAGTGCCACACAAACATCCATCATCTAATGAATCACAGAAATTAAGCAGGAGAAATGAAGTAAGCTTCAGGACCCTCAAGAATCAACTCTAGTGTGGCTTAAGAACCAAGAAGAGTGCTTAGGGGAAATGATCATTCCCATCCAGTCCCTCCGCTGCTCTGAATGAACTCAAGTGGAGGGATGCCCCAGAATCTGAATTTTAAATAAGCTTCTCCCTCTCTAGGAGGTTCAGACATAACCAGCCTTGGACAGTGCCCAGAGGTGACTGGTATTTACCTGAAGCATGCAGAGTAAAACGAAGTGTTTCTTCAAAGACTATTGAGTTGAACAGCAGTCACGCAAGTCTCCAAAAGACAATTATTCTAACTACTCTTAACTTGCAGTCTGGTTACCCTGCTGCTCTCACACCTGAGACCTCATGGACTTTTCATTGCTGGGGAAATTCAAGTTCACTTGACTCCACAGAACAGTCAAATGAAACAAAAGAGAATACCTCCCCATGGGGACAGGTTGAAAGTTGAGGCTTTTGACTTCCTGATGAGGCAGTTTTCCCAGAAATCCAAACCATGGGATGCTATGGAGCTCATATGTCTTGAGAGTGCCCAAATGTCAACTTATCGCCACAGTATCAGCCAGTGCAGCTCACTGTAACATTTGGAAGCACAAACCTGCTGTATAAAATGGCCTCTCCTGGGAGAGGGAAGCTGTCGCCATAGTAGAGATCATTCCATCTTGGGGCCAGAAGGACCAGGCAGTCCTTTAATCTTTAACGAGCCACGTTCGTGTTCAGATATAGGAACTGGCACAGCTGAGGCTCAAGCTGCTTTTCAGTTCAACAGCACTTTCCGGCCAATGACCTCAAGCAGCATGAGGGTGTGCCATCCCAGCCTGTTCCCCCCGGTACAGCTACTAGAATCTGCCCCATAATGTAATTGTGTACACTTTATTATCCACTATGGTCTAATACTTCATAGCTCAGGAAAGGTATCCGATATCAAGAGGCAAGCAAGCACCTACCTTGGCCACAGTAAAATACCGAATTCCTGTATGTTGGTAATTGAAAATGTAGCAAGCATACAGCAACAGAAGTCGGGGCTGCTGTCAGGACACAGACTGAGGTCCTGATGATGGGACTGGGAGAAAGGCCGTCCATGATGTGATCAAATTGCTGTCTTAGGAAGCTCATTTCAGAATCTAGCAATGGAAATCTTGGAGCCATGTGTGGATGTAATTTTCTACACAGCGCTATTTTTTAGCTCTCTTCCTGAGCTGCTCATACAGAAAAGGGGCAGGGAAGAAGCCCCTGTCATCAAACTCCATCACCCAAACAACAGAATGGCTGCATAATGAAGTGACTATTAGGCTCTTGTCCCATTACTTGTCTTACCCCAGTAACCTTCCTCTCAGAGCAAAGTAACTCAATGCTGGAGGCCATCTGAATTCGTAATACCTTACTATATACCTTTAGATGCTCTCTCTCTCTCTCTCTCTCTCTCTCTCTCTCTCTCTCTCTCTCTCTCTCTCTCTCTCTGTCTGTCTGTCTGTCTCTTTCTCACACACACAGGCACACATGCATAAATTCACAATGTCTGCCCCCCTGCCTGTCGCAAATACATACACTGTGTCTCATTAAGTCAAACTTCTAAACTTTCACCCTGGTTTCCCATAAAAACCCAAAGAACTGATACTTTGTTCACCTCTCCAAGTCTAGGGAGCCTATGTCACCCTTCATCTTTAAGGGTGATGCCTAGCCAAGTAGATACAGTTACCTGCTCCCCTACAGCTAACTATCAAACTGGTTTCTGCAGGCTATGGAAATAAAAAGACACAAAGGCACAGCTTGAATGTCTCATCCAAGTAATCAAAGTACCGGAAGAAGGAGAGAAGACAGAAGGAATGATTGCAAAACAAAGACTGAGCTGTACATTTTGGGAGCATTAAGAAAGCACTCCTTCTGACTAAGCTGAGAAGACAAACACCCAAAGGACTGCACATTCTCTGAAGATGACAGTACTCACAGTCCCCACCTGAGGTTCAACAAGAAAGCTTAGCACAAATGAGACTTGCATTATTTATAATAAAGAGAAAATATAGCCTAACATCCAGATTCTATTGATTAATGAGCAAAAAGCTACAGCCTAATTCCAACCAGGCCCATGTAACAAGGAATAAAACTTATTTTCTTTGGGTCCTTAAAGGTAGGGGAAGGAGAGATGGGGAGAAGCTGATAAATGGGTGCTGAACTACAGTTAGGAATAAGAGGCATGGTGACTGGACATAATGATGACATAATATACTACGTATTTCCAAAAGCTAGAGAGTTTGATCCTGCTTTCCATAAAAAAATGATAAATGTTAGCCGGGCGTTGGTGGCGCACGCCTTTAATCCCAGCACTCGGGAGGCAGAGGCAGGCGGATCTCTGTGAATTCGAGGCCAGCCTGGTCTACAGAGTGAGTTCCAGGACAGCCTCCAAAGCTACAGAGAAACCCTGTCTCGAAAAACCAAAAAAAAAAAAAAAAAAAAAAAAAAAAAAAAAGATAAATGTTTAAGAAGACAGATATGACAGAAAACATTACACAGTGTATACATTTTTTAAACAGTATGAGGTACTCCATAAATATGGACAATTTTATGGTAAGGTCTCAGTTTAAAAGATAAATTTAAAATGGGACTCTTTCTAAACAGGTGCCCCTCCCATCCCTTGTATAACAGGACATGAGTTACAGGAAGGAAGCTTATCCTCTAACATGGTGCTTTTAGAAACTTTACAAGGAAAATTATCACCATAATATACTAGCTATGGGGAGGGGGGAGCCCTGTAACTGGTGGATAGGGAAGGCATGCCGACATGGAGCTTATGACAGACACACTGACACACATACACACACAGAAGTAGAGAGAAACATAATCAGCAAGTCTATAACTAGTTCAGTTACTTTTGGCAGAGGTAGAAGTTTGCCTTCTGTCTACATGCATTTTGTGCTACTACAATATTCCTAAGTAAGCAGTTTACATTACTTGAGCTTAAGGTTTCTAAAACTACCTGACAAAGAAAACAATTTGAAGTTTTATTTGTAGCCAAATTGTGAGGGTATAGTCACAGTGGCAGTTTTATAAAGAAGTTACCAGACACTGTCATCTGGGATGCAGGGTCATAGGCATCCCTGTGCTAACAGCAGGAAGGGAATAATTAAGTCCTGGTTCCAACTCACAGTACACAGCAGCAGGCTCCACAGAGAGTCACCAGACAACGGCCACAGTGCATAGAAGCAGAATCATACAGAGAGCTAAAAACATACAACTCAAAACCTGTCTTTGTTGGCCAAATCAAGTTACTGAGTAATCTGATGAATTTAAAAACCAAATATCCCAGGGCTAGGAATGCAACAATGGCAGGGAGTTTACAAACAGAAAAAAAAAAAAAAAAAAACCCACCAAAACAAAAAGTAGGAGGCCAGCCTGGACAATACAACAAAACCATACATCAAAACAATAAAGAAAAATAAATGGGACCACACACTCACCATAAGGCCCATCAACTGCATTCCTGGACACTTAACCTACTGAAATTGAAACTTGTAACCAGGGCCCGTGAACCTGCCAACCAGAGTTTTAACCCTAGAACCTACAAGGCAGAAGGAGAGAATCAACACCAGCCAAGTTGTCCTCCGACCTCCACGCCTGCACCATGCATGGCACATGCCTATCCACACAGGCACACAAGAAAACAAATGCAATAAAAGATAAAACTGTGTGCTGGAGAGATGGCTTAGAGGTTAAGAGTACTGACTGTTCTTCCAGAGGTCCTGAGTTCAAGTCCCAGCAACCACATGGTGGCTCACAGCCATCTATAGTAAGATCTGATGCCCTCTTCTGGTGTGCAGGCACACAGGAGGCAGAATACTATACACATAACAAATGAATAAATAAATCTTTTTTTTTTTAAAGATAAAAATTGTGTTCATATACAAAGCTACAACACAAGAATGTTCTCAATAACTTTATCTGTAACGGCCCCAAAGTGGTGGCAACCAACATGCTCTTCAACAGATGAATGCTCAAAGAGGAAGAACAGATTATTACTACATGTAACTGAGATGGAATGTGCTATGCTAAGGGACAAATACCAGTCTCAAAAAGTCACACTCTTGCCGGGCGTTGGTGGCGCACGCCTTTAATCCCAGCACTCGGGAGGCAGAGGCAGGCGGATCTCTGTGAGTTCGAGGCCAGCCTGGTCTACAGAGTGAGTTCCAGGACAGCCTCCAAAGCCACAGAGAAACCCTGTCTCGAAAAACCAAAAAAAAAAGTCACACTCTTAAAAACCCATTTCCACACCATTTCTAAAATGACAAAAATAAAGAGATTACTAGTTGCCAAGAATTAGTGGTGGAGACAGAAGGATGTGTGAGACTCTAAAGAGGGTACCACAAAGAAGATACATGTGCGTGCATGTGTATGTGTGTAATAGAACCATGTCAACTTCCTGGTTTGATGGTGGTTAACCATATGTAACCATTGGAGAAAGCTGGATGAAGAATGAATGATGTCTTAGTTAGGGTTACTATTTCTGTGATGAAACACCATGTCCAAAAGCAAGTTGGGGGGGAAAGGGTTTATTTGACTTGCACTTCCATAGCACTGTTCATTACTGAAGGAAGCTGGGACAGGAACTCAAACAAGGTAGGAACTAATGCAGAGGCCATGGAGGAGTGCTATTTACAGGCTTACTCCTCATGGTTTGCCCAGCCTGCTTTCTTAGAGAACCCAGGACCATCAGCCCAGGGATGGCACCACCCACCACTGGCTGGGCCCTCGAGACCAATCACTAATGAAGAAAATGCCATAATAGCCAGATCTTGTGAAGGCATTTTCTCAACTGAGGTTCCCTCCTTTCAGAGAACTCTAGTTTGTGTGTCAAGATGATAGAAGAGTACCACATGAGAACGCTGATATTTCTGCAACTTTTAAAATTACATTTTATTTTATTTTATGCATGCACCTGGGAAAGCCGAACATGCTGCTGTCAGCTTGCTTGTGGAGATAGAAGGCAGCTTCAGAACTTGGTTCTCTCCTTTCACCATGTAGGCCCCATGGATAGGGCTGGGCACCATAGATAGGGCTGGGCACCAGACTTGGAAGTGGACGCCTTTACCCACTGAACCATTTCATGGACCCAGTTTTTGCAATGTTTTGTGAAACTGTAATTACCTCAAAATAAGAATGTTTCCAGAGTCTGGAGAGGGAGGGCCTGAGTTAGATTCCTAGCACCACATGGCAGCTCACCACCAGATCCAGAGCTCCAGGGGACCTGACTCTCTCTGACTTCCTGGGGACTAGGTACAAATATGAGATACGTACACATACGTTCATGTGATGTTCTCCTCTTGGACCAACTTCTACTTTATATGTGACCAGCACCCCAAACAAAACATTCCTATAGATAAAATAAAATAAATATCCCTTAAAAAATAAAAGAATTTCTAAAGAACAATTAGTAAAGGATGGGCGTGGTAATGCACACCTTAAATCCCAGCACTCAGACTCAGAGGCAGGGGGATCTGAGTCTGCCTAGTGATTTCCAGGACAGCCAGGGCTACAGAGAGAAACCCTGTCTCAAAAAAAACAAAAATAGGCCGGCACACGCCTTTAGTGCCAGCTCTCAGGAGGCAGATACAGGCTGATCTCTGTGAGTTCGGGACCAGCCTACTCTACAAGAGCTAGTTCCAGGACAGCCTCCAAAGCCAAAGTGAAACCCTGTCTCAAAAAAACCAAAACAATAAAGTACAGTTAGTGAACTGTCCACCAACTATGGAGAAAAGTTCACATATAGCACATCTCAGACTATTCTGCAGGCGGAGATTTAAAAAGACTCTTGAAGCAAAGACTGATTGCTGGCCCCAGTGAAACACATCCAGGCCTGACCTGTGTGCTATCCCTTCCTAGCATTTTCCTGTTTCCGCCTATAGCCAGGAGCAATGGCAGATGTAGCCACACAGAGTGAACTCTCCATGCTGTTTCAGCTAAGCAGGCAGACCAATGCCCAATGTGAAAGAACCAGAGCAGCCAGACAAGCTGACTGTACCGGGTGTGGTAGGCAGACAGGCTGCCTCATGCACTGGGCAATCAGTTGCTGCAAACAGGTTTACTTACTCTGGTTAAGTGAGCTCATGCATGTCTTCAGTGTGAGACTGACCTTCACACTGTGGGTAGTCGCCACCCAGCAGGGCCTTTCACATGTGAGGTGGAGGGTAGGAAAAGATAAAGGGGGCTTTTCTTTTTCTTTTCTTTTTTCTTTTTTTGGTTTTTCGAGACAGGGTTTCTCTGTATTGCTTTGGAGGCTGTCCTGGAACTCACTCTGTAGACCAGGCTGGCCTCGAACTCACAGAGATCCACCTGCCTCTGCCTCCCGAGTGCTGGGATTAAAGGCATGCGCCACCAACGCCCGGCTTAAAGGGGGCTTTTCTATTTCCTGTGATGCTCGCCCCTTGAGCCAAGTCGTACTTTCTTATGTGACCAGTGCCTCCTAGCAAAACGGACCACTGCCACTTCTCACTAACAGCACTCCCAACGTGCAAGCCCATCTACATAGCTCATGTTCCATCTGTGAGGAAGCCTACTCACACACAGAAAGATGTGTTCAAAAACAGAAAAATGATCTACAAACCCACCTATGAAGTCTTCCCTAAACTAAAGCTTTACATATTTAGCCAAATATGCTTTTAAGGGTGGCTGGTTTATACATTTAAAATTTTAGGATTAGAAATAAATGATAAGACAGTTCTTTAGTACTAACAAAAAGTAAACTAGGAAAATAAGGAACAAGCACGTCATTTTTAAGTAGCATTCCACAGGAGGTACATGTCTCAGAAGAAGTTTTAAGCCTGCATTATATGAAATGGAATCTACCTATGAAGGCCCAGTCTGAAGAGTGCAGGCCCTAGATGAGCTGAAAAGGCGGGCAGCAATGACGCCTGCTGCTGGGGACTCAGCTGCTGTGGAATATTATTTTAAAATGTGTTGTTACACTGGGGGCTATTTGTTTTCATGATGAAAAGATGTGTTGCATTCTTTTATGTTGCATTTGTTTAACTCTGTGAAGGCTGTGTTACTTTCCTGTCTAAAACGTGTAATTAGTCTAATAAAGAACTGAATGGCCAATAGTAAGGCAGGATAAAGGATAGGCGGGGCTGGCAGACAGAATAAATAGTGGTAAGAAATATGGGAAGAGATCAAGTTGGTGGTGGTCTTAGACCTGCTCTTAGTGTTTACACATCTGTGGAACACAGGTAATAACATCTGACATCTTGCTGGATGGCCAGGAGGGCCAAATGGGTTAATATGATAAAAATCCTGGCACAGGCTGTGTGTTTCACTTTGTTCTGTTTGGTTTGTGTGGTACAGGAAAGA